TCTAGTCGGAAGAAACCTCTATACCGTATAAATAAAAAGGAAATACCTAATTAACCCTTAGAACGCGCCCGCTCCCTTATTATTCCCTTAACTAAGAGGGCTAAAACGAAACTAAGAAAAAAGTAGCCGAAATAAAGAAAGAAAACGCCGATCGGATTAAATCGGTAAGGATAAACTAGGCTAAGTTAGCTATAAAATAATAAAGAAGCTTCCTTATAATATTAAACGAGAAGTTAAAAACGCGGCCGTAATAATTAAATAATAACCAGAGGAATAGAGTTTCGCGGTAGTTTTTAAGAGGAGATATTAATCGGGATATACCGTACTATCCTTTTTAGTTTAATTATCCCTTACGATATAATTAAACTAAAGAGGCTATAATAATACGGTAAGATATATCCTTTTAATATATTACGTAATACGTTACGATAGGCCTTATACTTATATAGAGTAACTATAGCTTCCGTAAATACGGGATATACCATACTTATCATTTAATTTATTACCTAATTAAATTACTATCTTTATTATTTTTACTTTAATTAAAGATTCGTTTTTATTATTAGATTCGTCCTTCTCCGATTAGTATATCTATTTTAATTATAAGTACTTAAGTTACTTCGTCGTACCGCTATAGCCGAATAAATAACTTTTACGTTTTATCTCTTTTCTCCCCTTACCTCTTATACCTTCGGGCTAGCGATTATTACATCTTTACGACTAAGGGGTATAGCTAAAATACGATAACTACATTTGTTGGTAGGTACGTACGTAAAGCAAAGTGAATAGTAAATAGTAATAAGAAAGGTTGGGGGTGAGACTAGTTGTATTAATGTGTCTAGGGAAAAAGGAAGCTATCTCCTGTTGTAGGTGGAGGATTAGGCTGGCCCTTATATGCCTCCTAACGTTACGTGGTAGATACATAGTACTTAAGCCTCCTTATTCTAACTGTTAATTAACTATTACTTACTTTATTTTCTTTTCGCGATTATTAATTAATAATTGCGAATTGTTATTCCCTCTTTACTTATCCTTTTAATTTTAGGTTAATCTAATTATTTTCTACTAGGGTCCTTATAGCCTTATTTAGCGACGCCTTTGTTATGGCATCGGCAGGGTTATAGTTTCCGTAGATCTATCGGATGTCGTTAATCTCCCGATTTTTATACGATTACCTTAGTGCTATTAAGTCGATTATTAGGCGTTTCTCGTTAGTATTGCTTATTTAGATTAGATATTGATATAGCGATAAGGAATCCGTATATAACGTTAATGGTGCCCTAGGTAGTATTAGCCGCTTTAGAATGGTGTTAACCGTGCGGTAGATTACGTAGCCGACGTCGAATCCTTAGACCATCCCGTATATCTCGCTAGTAAGTACGCTCCGGGTAATCCTCTTATACTTAGTCGATAATTAATGGATTAGATTGCCGACGACCCTTACCTAGTTATCGTTATCGTTTAACGCGGGTTCTTCGTTTCCGAGTATTACGAGATACCTTATTTGCGAGCTTATATCGGCGTTATTAGCGAATAATCCGTTTACGAAGACGTATAGGCGGAGCTTACTTGGTTCGAGGGTAATATAACTAAGGCCCTGGTTTTTGTTAATTATTTATTATTCGATCCTTTTATTAAGAGCCTTTGCCTCCTTAGCCCTTGGTTTAACGTGCTAGGCTACTATAGAGTAATCGAAGGCCGCCTCGGGTTAATAGATCGACGAGATATACGCTCTCCGTATCCGTTACTCGACGAACTTTTTAGTTACGTTAAGCGCTTTTAGGTCTAGGAGGGTTAGCTTTTTAACTTAGCCTTTTTAGGCTACGGTAAGCCTATACCTACTATCGTTAAGCCTAAAGCGTAATCCGTTAAAGTCCTCGGTTATTCCCGGTTCGAGTATCTTCTAGGGTTTTGCCTTAATTCCTATTTTCGTAAGTATCTTGTCTTCTTATTCGAGGAACTTTTGTATACCGACGTTAAGCGTATCGTTTATCTAGAGGCCTATAATTCCGAATGGTCGATTAGCGTCCGTAACTAGTAGGTATAGGTCGAAGGCTAATGGGTTTATTTATAATTCCCGTTAATAGTACTTCGAGTAAGTTTCGAATTAGTATATACCTATTTCCGTTAGCCCGTATAGCGGCTTAACGACTCGTAATAGCGTTCCCTCGGGATATTTATTTTTTAATTCCGACGGTAGTTATATAAATATTATTCGTTATATTGGTATCCTTAATTATATATAGGCCATCGTAATATCTCGGATTATTATCTTTATTCCTTACTAGCAGAGTATCGGTACTAGTACTAGAATTAATCGTTAGCTCGCCCTTTATATAGTTAGTGCGTAAGTTATAATGGATTCCTTTTCGCGATTTCCGTAGCCTTAGACGACTAGTCGGGATTTTTCGTATGGCTTTTAGGTATTCTTGCCTTTAATTTCGCGAACTATCCGTAATTTAAAGATGGTTGCTCCTCGGTGGATTATATTATTCCATGTTTTAGGCTATAGGATACCGTTATCGAATAGCGCGTTTAACTCCTTTAAATTAGACGCCTCGTATGGCTTACTAAGAGTAGTAATCTTCCCTATGGCTCGTAGTTTTAATGCTAGGGTATAATCGTTCCTTTCTTTTATACTAACGTATATTATATCTAGTTCTTCTTCTGGGATAACCTCGTATTCGTCTGGGTTGATCGTAGGATGTAGGATTTCGACTTGGAGTTTTTCGGTGGTCGGTCGGTTCGAGGCGCTAGAGGAGGCTCGTTAAGCGGCGAACCTTATTAGTTCTCTGCCGATCCTACTGGTCCTACCGGTTGTAGCCGTTCTAGTATAAGAAGGGAATCTAGGCCGAAGAGGCCGTATCTAGGCGGTGTTTCGAACTACGGGTTAGTAGGGATAAACGGAGGATTACTTCCGTAGGTAGCTCGTCGGAATAAAGCGGGGGTTTATTACTTTAATAACTTTATTACTACTCGACCGAATTATAACGAGGGTAGTTTACTACTTAATCGAGCGAATGCGGGTATTAGCGGGTAGATTATTCCTTAGTTAGTTTCGATTGTTAGTATCCGCTAAGCTAACGTATTAGGTTACTTAGCCTTAACCGTTTAGAGTTCTTAGTAGTTCTAGGTCGGGGGGCCTTTCGCCCGTATTAATTCGGTAAGTTCCCGAGAATACTTCGCATTACTTCTTCCTACGTAGATCCCTTGCCTTATTAGGGCGTTCCGTAGAAACGAACGGAGGGGGGCGGGCATTAGCTTAAAGTCTTCCGTATTATAGCCTCGAAACCGTTCTTAGTAGTCGCTTAGGGTTTCGTCCGTGGTACGGATATTAAGGGTACTAATATCCGCGGCTTCGAAGTCCGCTATTATTATTAATGCTTATGTTATTTTTTACCGTAAGTTAGCGACTTCCGCTAAGAATTGTTATTATTTAATTACTTATAGGTTAAATTATGTTATTATTACTACTAGTTATCCTGTAATAAGTTTAAGTAGTTCGTGGAGGTCGCTTACGTCCCTAGGGTCCTAACCTCTTAGGGGTCCTCCTAGCGGTTCGCGTCTGAAAATAGGTACGGGGATAGGGTCTTTAAGTTCGTTATATTTTAGGCCTACTCGTTATCTACCGGCTCCTTAGGTCGATGTTTCTAGCTGTTTTCCTTCCGATATCTTAGTTATTATAAAGAATGTATAGTTAATAGGGTATTAATTTCGGGATATAATAAAAAAAGAGGTAGGGAAAGGATCGGTTTCGCGATTATAGAGGCTAATAGAAGATCTCTTACTAGTATCGCTTATATTACTACGGTAATAGTAATTCTTCCGGTTAAAGTGGTAGTAACTCTTCTAACCTTATTAATTTATATTACTAATTATTTAGTAATACTAATTAGTATTAATAGGTACGTACGTAAAGTAAAGTAAATAGTAAATAATAATAAGAAAGATTAGGGGTAAGACTAGTTGTATTAATGTGTCTGGGGAAAAAGGAAGCTATCTCTTGTTATAGGTGGAGGATTAGGCTGGCCCTTATATGCCTCCTAACGTTACGTGGTAGATACATAGTACTTGAGCCTCCTTGTTCTGACTGCTGACCAACCATCAACATTAGATTCCTTACCTCTCGATTAATACGGCGATACTAGTTTCATCTATCCTAAACTATCGTACGTACTATAATCTTCGATAGAACGTACCTTCGAATGAACTTATCCGGGTCTCCAGTATCGCGTACGCTCTATTCCTCCTCAATACTTATAACCTAGCTTTAATATAAAACTATTAAAAATAATAAGGCTATTATTAAGATGCGTAAGAAGGTATACGTAGCGTTAAGGAAGCGCTTCGTCCGTATAGTAGATATACGGTGGGTAAAAAGGTTATTAAAAGGTAGGGTAGTATATAAGAACGAGGTAAGCGACGAAGAGGTACCTAGAGAAGCCAAAACGGCGTTAAGAATACTTAAAAACGAGGCATCGTAAGCGGAGGATTATATTAAGGTTATAACGCTAAAATTAAAGGGTTTTAATTAATTTTAATAATGTAAGTAGCTTTAATTATTAACGTAATAGTTACTAGGTAATGCTTAATTTAGGTAACTCGTAAAGGGGTAGCCTAACTTACGTAGTAATATTATGTAAACTTTACGATAATGACAGTCCTTACTTGAGTCGTGGGAGAAACATATATATTCTCTCCCTACCCCTCTTCGATTCTCATTTTCTTTCCTCTCTTCTCTATCCTTTCACTCGTCACTCTCCTGCAGTCTACACAAACCAGCAACGCCTCCGTGCTCGTCACCTTCACTCAACGAAGCAATATTACCACCACCAAGCGGTTATAAGCCCGTTGCATTCTCTAATGCTTGTGGTTTTTACAACTTGGGTTCGATGAGCGACTCGTCATTCCTCACAATTCTATAACGCACTGAAGACTCTCTACTACCAACACACTGCAGAGTCCATTGCCTGAGGCGATCTTCTTATATCAAACCAAACATGGCGTCAACACGGAACTGGAAGGATGGAGAGATAGCCTTTCTCAAAGGTGTCGACCAGTTCAACCACACTGAATACCGTTCCTTAATCGCAAGCGGCTACATGCGTGAAGCTACGACTCAACACCCAGTCATCGTCCTGGAGCACTCTAGTGACTACCAGCACTACTTAATCACCACGGTCTCAGCCTACGGCTCCAGCCGAGAAAATTCCTACCTCGCGCCATGGCGGCAGGCATGCCACCGCCGAAAGTGTCGCGAGTCTTTCCGCGCGTTCTTCGGCTCAGAAAAACCATCAGAAGAGCACGATTATCTCTGGCTCGAGCCCGGACAGCAGTTCCCAAAGCCCAAGACCTCCTGGGTGTACATCCGCCTCTGCTTTGTCGTACCCGCATCCACACTTACGCGCTTCGACAAGACACCGACCCAGCTACGCGTGACGCAGGAGAGCCTCAAGGCTCTCCTCCGGGACATGAGAAAACTCAGGGGTTTCGACAAGCGGTGGACGGACCCCAGGGTCCTCGAGATAATGGAGCGGGGGACACGAACATCTTCTCCCTCGGAGGACTCCGACGGTAGCATTTCCGACTCTTCAAACTCAAGCATGGAGACCACCCGGCGCTGGGAAAGGCCGTGGAGACCGTGCCCAGCACCAACCACTAAGATACAGACATATCGCAGCCACGCGGACAAAGAAATACGACGATGGCCAACGTATAAACTTTCCAAACTTCCGCCAGGCTATGCTTGCTGAATCACGCTACACCCACATCTGCAAGCAGCCTGGAACCCATTCTACCGAATTCTACCTGATTCTACCGTATTCATGCCACCACTATTACATAACACGGGAGGGGGCCTCCATCTTATCGACTGCAGGGACCACCGGAGTTCCGGACATTTTCTGCTACATACAAAGTTTACAGACACCACCAAAACTCAATTGCGGCACCTACAACTTGAACTGCACGTTCAACAGACAAAAAACCCACACACGACTTCACAACGGGCGGGAGGGAGGGTATATACCATCGGCAATTCAAGAGATCAGAAGGGCATATCTAATGCCCCGGTGGAGGAATATGGAGGACATTGATTCTTGCCTACAGAGCAAGATGATAAGCGGAGAGAGCGATCATTTGACTTTTTGAGGAGGGAGAAAAGACGACGGCGGATTTTGGATACGACTCACGACTTGACATGCATGGCGATGCGGATGGATACCCAGGGCGAGAGGGCGTTTGGCGGACAGGGGATACCAAAGGGGGGACGGAGGAGGAAACGGGCGATGCTGGCTGGCCAGCTGAATTCTCCGGAGGGCTGGTCCCTGCGGTATGGGGGATCTTTGCGAGAGCGCTGGAAGTGGAGGGAAGGGGGCGAATGTTAATCGGGAGGAGGATGATAATCCTATCCGGAGGATAGTTATCCTATCCGGAGGATAGTTATAATACGCATAACCCCCTGTCATGCTGATTAATTGCGGGGTTAAATACCCCTGTAAATACCTCTGTAAATACCCCTGTAAATACCTCTGTAAATACCCCTGTAAATACCACTGTAAAGGAGTGTCATTTGGGGGATACTTTATTTTTATTGGCTGAAAGTTCGTATACGCCGTTTTAATTAGTTAAAAGTTCGTATGACCCGCTTAAAAGGGATGCATCTAATAAAACTACAGCATATGCGTCCATCTATTTACCTACGCGTTTAATCTTATTTCCTATCTATTTTAATTTTATTTATATATAGATCAATCTTCTCTCCGTTTAAGAATCGATTGCTAATCCCTTTTCGCAGTTTAATCCAGGTCAGTTTCTCGTTTAATCCAGGTTAGTTTCTCCCCGTTCAATCCAGAGTCGATTACTAATCAATCCCTTTTCGCAGTTCAAACGTCGATTCCTACTTACCCCTTTTTCCCTAGCCTTCGGAGAGGTTCTAGGTTTTCGGCACGAAAACCTGGAGAAGCGCGGAGCGCTTCGACGTATTTTATTACAGGGAGGCAGCGCCGCGGCACTGGCGGCCAAGCTGCGGGAGTACGGAATGAAAGACGGAATTCGGGCGCGCCTGTGCGCCCCATCGCGCCCTATGAACACTGTTTGCATCGTGAAGCGGAGAACCTCCGCCCTTGACACTTTTGTGACCGTAGCAATGACTTTCTCCCCCTGTCCACCCAGCCACACACCTAACCACCCCCTCCTCCTCCTCCTCCTCCTCCTCCTCCTTCTCCTCCTCCCCCTTCTCCTCCTCCCCCTCCTTCCCGCGCCCCCTCCGCCCCCGCAATCCTCTCAAACTCACGCACCAGGCGGTCCGCCGTCTGCCAACCGCCAATCACGTAGCGCTCGTTGACGACGAGCGTGGGGACGGCGCGGATAGCGGGCTCGGCGTCGGCGCCGGCGGTGCTGCAGCGGCGGGCGCGGACGTCGGCGCACAGGCCGTCGAGCGCGCGGTCCCACTCGTCGGGCGGCTGGTCTTCGCGCTGGCCTGCGGCCGCGTGTTCCCCGTACACGACGCGCCGCACCTCGGCGGGCGGGATCCCGGGGGCCGCGGCGGCCGCGGCGCCGACGAGCCACTCGCGTGCGGAGATGTCGGCGCCGAGCTCGTGGTGCGCGCGGAGCAGCGCGCGCAGCAGCCGCAGCTGCAGCGCGGGGCCGCGGCCCGGCGCCTCCGCGCCCCCGCCGCGCCCCCGCCCCGCGAACGCCGTGCTGCGCGCCGTCGACGGCGCCCCCGAGCCCCCCGAGCCCCCCTCCAGCGCCAGCCGCAGCACCTTGTGCGCGTCGCGCGTGCTCCCCGTCCGCCCCGCCCACGCGAACGCGATCCCCGCCCCGCGCCCCAGCGCCGCGAGCTGCGCCGCCGTGTGCACGCGCCCGCGCGCCAGGTACGTCGCCTTGTCGTACGCTGCGGGCGGTGAGGCGGGTTAGCGAGGGTGAGAGGGAGAGAGGAGGGGGGAGGGGGGACGGGGAGCTGACGCGCGTGGCACAGGGATGACTCATGGTGAGGCGAGGTGAGATTGGGAGGAGGGAGGTTCGTCGTAATGGGGTAGGCGTACGACGCGCGTTATCGGCGCTGGGGAAAGGGGGTGGGGGAGTGGATGGGTAGATGACGAGGCACCAGCGAAACAAGGACTCCCCCTTTTGGGGGGGGAGGGGGAGGGGGGGGGGGTGGCAAAGCTGGGTTGTCCGGGGACAATTGAGTTCGTGTAGGCACTCACCACTCCGCGCGGCCTGGGGGTCCAGCAGGAACGGCGAGCACGTCACCTCGAAGACGGCGGCCGGGTGCCGCGCGCGGTAGGTCTCGATGGCCGCGTCGAGGCTCTTCAGGCCCAGATAGCAGTACGGGCAGACGAGGTCGAGGATGAATTCGACCACGAAGTAGGTCGTGCGCGCCGCCGTTGCCGTCGTCTCGCCCGCTTCCCCAGCTTCCTCAGTCGCGCCGCCGTCGCGTCCTCTCGGCTCCACACGCTCGGGGCTTGCCTGACTCGTCGGGGACAGCAAGTCTCGTATGCTCGTCATATTTCCGTTTTCCCCTCCTTCCCCGGCGCTGTCCCCTCAGGGGTAGAACGTAGATCCCAGATGAGTTTCCGGCGCGAAACAGTGTGACTCCTAGAAGAGTCGTCGTTGACATTGTTCCTCTGGGCGGTAAGGCCAGCAGAGGGCCTCGAGGGCCATATTATAATAGGACCGGCTGGCGACCAGCCCGTTATTCATGACGATAGCAATGGTGATCATTAATCAAATGTTGTATATTGCGACCGGCGACAGCGAGCCGGGATTGGCGAACCCCCCCCCCTTCCCCTCCCTCTCTCCCTCTTCCCCGGCAGATGCCCGCCAGAGAGAGAGAGAGAGCTCTGAGAATGGAGAGGCTGCGAAAGGGGCTACATGCTACATGACATGGACGATTAGTGATCTGTAACCCCCCGGTCGCCACCCTTGGCTACTTACTTCCACGAACCGTTTCGTACGCATCGCACGCCACGCGACCGGGACGCTTGCTCGCCTTGCCGCCCCCCCTCTTCCCTCCCCTGGTCGCGCGAACATTCGAATCTGGGTCACGAGCCATGCTAATGAGGTTTGGTATGATACGATTCCCCATAGCGAGGGCGACGGGCAATCCAATGGCGAGGAGAGGAGAGGGAGCCTGCGAACTACTTGGCCCTGGTTCCAAGGTACGTCCGAAGCGTGGCGGCACTAGCAGCACCAGCAGACGCTCGCATGCCCTGCCTGCCTACCTGGAGATTCCCGACGCACGATGACTTGACGGCGGATGCGGGCGGGAGGATTGCGGGCCTCTCGCACCACCCCTAGCTTAGCTTCGCTAGAAAGATGCGACCCGGTCTGGCGGCCCACGCTGGTCGACCTCAGGGAGCGGGGGGGGGTGGTTTATTTCTTCCTGCGCCGCAGCCCAAGAAGAAAAAGGGGGCAGGGGGGGTGTGGGTGGGCGCGAATTACATGTCCCAAGAACAAAGCGGTAAGTTGTAGGTACGAGTTCCGCGACGACCCTCTCGAATCCGTAGTAGGCAGCCGGGAAATGCTTGGCCTGGCCTCGCAATGCCAGAACCACGACACAACGCGCACACGTGTGTGCCCACGTATAAATACAGTACATCGCCTACCTGTTGGCAAAGGGGGGAAGACACCTGGCGGCGGTGGTGTGTGGTGACAACCCGGGTTGTGATCACAAATCAAAAAATATCGACGCTCGCGCGCCGAGAAATATACGTAGCTGGGCGTGCATCGATCTGTACTAAACGGTCCCGTCGCCGTCTGTGTATCCAGCGACGCGATAGTACTGAAGCCCGCCCGCTTTTCCCTTTCCTCTGCTTCTTCTAGGGCCCCCCACGGGTCCCGTCGCGGCGTCGTAGTTTCGGTCTAGGCTCGCTTGCCTAGTATTCCCATCTTGCCGATTTTGTCAGCGTCCCGATCGCGTACCTGTCAGCGGACTGGTCGCTATCAACCACGGCGACACGTACAACGCAACGGCCGACTACCGAGGTAGTAGACAGCTGCGTCCAATGCCCGCCGCTCGGGATGGTCCTTGCCAACCTGATCTATGCTATGAATAGGATGGGATGAAATACGCCCAACGTAGCGAAAAGTCCGGTGTGGATCGGGATCCTACGCAAGGCCGCCAGGTATCACAGGCATATGCATAGATCATGTTGACTTGTGGAAATATGTTTCTAGACATTTAGGGGGGGGGGGGGGGGGGGGGGTCAATACCGGGCGTCTGTTCCTCTAACGACTCGTGGTCCAATCGCTTCGGGTGACCTTTTGTATATTTCATCCTACGTGACATCGATGTGGGCTCGCTACACGTATGTACATATGCAGCAAGGTGTCTTCCCCGACGCATCGTTTATGGGGCTGGTATGTATGTAGATGTAGGTCGTTGTCGGAGAAAAAAAGGGCCATGACATCTTGCTATAGCCAACGGTGGAGAGCGAGAACACAGATCTAGGGTTGATACCGCTTACATTATTATTGTGAAGAGGAAAATATGGAAGATTGGGGATAGAGTCTTGCCAGGGAGCAAAGCACAGCACATACCTATTAGTCAACCAAATTTCTATGAGCACGAACCACAACCCCCCCTCCCTTCAACCATGGGATTGATGTGCGTCTGGCCGGAGCCGGATCGGGCTGTGGATATTCGGTAGTGGCCATGCTCATAAGCCTCATCACGTCGACGGGAACAGTCGTCCCCGCAGTAGCAGATTTGGAGACGCACCGTGACTCCGTAAATAGCCTCTTCAGGTGCAGTGCGAACGGTGAATACGAGGAGAACTCGGAAACCGGAGCATCTAGTTGCCATAATTATAGATTCTTGGATTCGTCCTCAATTCCATGAGTCAGTGGCTGTCTTTCCTGTCGATGCGCTGCCCTACGGCACGGATGGCGTGTCTGTCTATGATAACCTTCACTTTCGCCGAACCAATGCCTAGAGTCTATGTGTCTATCCTTCCCATTCACTACCGCCAGGGGAGCAATATCTCTTTTGTACGCCCTGTCGCCAACTGTATCCTCTATCCCACGGCTTGCACCCTTTTCCCCCCTTTGACCCCGACTTATACTCGGGGTCGTAGTGCCATTAAGGCTACCCAGTCCAACCAGCCCCAGTCGAAACAGTTAAAATTTGGGAATCGGAACAGCCACTCGTACACTGGTTGAATCTATCAACAAGGTGCAAATTTGGGCTCGTCGTATTATGAAAATCCCTGGCAAAGTCGCCGCCGATACCCATTAGAGCGAGGCGCGCGCGCCCCAAGACCGAGCCGAGGTGCCGTGACGCCGGGAGTAGCAAGCTAGGAGACTCCGGATTGGAAGTGTCACCGTGACAATAACAAAACGGGAGCGGAAAAAAGCGGTAGAAAAAAAAAGGAGTAGCGAGATAAACGCCGCTTGCCAGGGTCCCTTCTTGAATGCTTGAGACAAACAAACAATCACGCCGTACCGTGGGGTATTGAGCTGTCCGTAATAAAGCAAATATGCAAGGTAACAAAGGAAAGTCTACGAATTAAAACCGTATCCGCGAGGAAAAACTCGCCCCCACGTATGCGGAATGAATCCCTCGCTGCCTAGCCAAGACGAACCGCTTGGGTTGTCACCCTATTGACCTGCCCATAGCTCATTCTGGCGTGGCTTGACATCGTAGGCGGCGGGACTGGGCTCAGTGCTAGTCGGCCGTCGGATCTGGTTACCCGTAGTATAGTAGAGCTGGCCCAGGTTGTTACTACCCAGGAAGGGTTGGTCGGGGTCCGGATACACGTAGCTGCTCCCGGCGTTGCTGTGTGTCGGCGAGGAGATGTGTGCTGGCGATTGCCATCCCATACTGCTCATGTGCGGGCTTCCAGCAGCACTGCCAGCCGCGGACTGGTGCGATTCCACACTAGGCTCGAGTGTCGACGGCGGGGGGTAGGCCGTGGGGTGGGACGTAGGTCGCATACCGGGTGTGTAACCTGGAGCCGACGTGGGGCTTTGCGAGTGCATATCCGGGCGCATGTGGACGGGCAGAGAACCGTTGTTGACATACGAATAATCGTTGCGCATAGCATTGGCGGTGGCGAGATCACCGCTAGGCGACATAGACATTTGTCTATGTGCAGGCGAGGGGGTGTTCAACGGGGAGCCGTGGTTCGATCCCGGCTCACCGTCGCTATGAACCGCGCGAGCTCGGCTCGTCGTCCGGTTGGCCTGATTGGCGATAATACTAGCGGTGGCAGCGGCAACCTCTTCTACCGTAGTACCCGAGTGTTGGGTCAGGTGGCGGGTCAACGTCGTTCGACGGGTGAACGTCTTTAGACAGTTCTGGAAGGGACATTGGTAAGGACGCTTTCCTGAGTGAATGCGTCGGTGTCTAGCCAGCGAACTGCTGTCGCTAAACGGCTAAAGATGCAGTGTCAGTGTGATTCCCAGATAAGTAGAGGCAAAGCTGAAAATACCTTTCCACATCTCTCGCACATGTGCGGCTTCTCGCCCGTGTGGACGCGCTGGTGTACTGTAAGGGCCGACCGCTGGATGAATTGCTTGCCACAGCCTGCGTAGTCACAGACATGAGGGCGAATGCCGCTATGAATTCGTTCTGATGGCATGGTTAGCATCATTATAGCCTCGTGATCTTCACGTTTCGGACACTCACCATGGCGGGCCAAGTCGCTTCGCCGTGCAAAGGCTTTGCTACACGTGCTGCAAGCATAAGCCTTGGGTGGCGCCTGTGGATGTTCGTGAGGCTTGTTGTACACAGGCAGGCCGTGAGGAATCGGCGACATGCTAGGGACCATCATACTAGGTCCCATGGTGGTAGGGTCAGGCAAAGAGACGGCCGTGTGCATTAATGAGGGGGAACCGTAGGGACGGCCGCTGCCCATGGCGCCTAAGGCATCTAATGGCTGGCTACGGGGCGCGGAATGGTATGAGCTTTCGGATCCGTGCGGAGAGTTCGACCGATCCATGGCGACGGCAGGAAGCGAGGGATGGGGTAAAAGTTGCTGGTCAACCATGGAACCTGAACCGGCGGCGACGGCAGCAGCAGCAGCGGCAGCGGCAGCGGCGGCGGCGGCGTTCTTCTTATCCAGCATATTTGTGATGTTCATCACCTCCGAGGACGGCGATCTTGACATGCTTAGCGGACGTCAAGATCTACAGCCGGTAGGTAGCGGTGCCAGGGAAATACCCAGAGCTATCGCAAATTTCGTCGGAATGCCACGTCAAGGTGGTGTCGTAACGCGTCCGGCTGAGAGGCGCCCTTTATCAGAGCGCGCAAAGTCAAGGTTGCCGCCTGTGCTTTATAGCAATGTCAACAACCCAAGACCGGATCTCACGCCTGTTGGAAGCGCAACCCACGTCAACCAGGGCTCCGGTGCTGGAGGTGGCCAGGCACACTTCCAGATCAATGCAGGTCAGCTTGCGCCTCGACAAGACCAGGCTCGCTGTCCTGCGACTTGTGGCTGGAGCGTTGGGGAACTATTCCTGGACGGATGCGCGCGACCTAGCTGCCCAACTCCCAGAGACTCTTACACGGCTGCGCGTTATCGCCACGCTCGACTAAATCAACAGGCCTTTGTTTGGGCGGATCAGGGGTTCGATGTATCGCGGCCGAGGAGTATCGGTGGTCGGTTTTATGGGAGTAAGACGAAGATTATGGTGGTGCGAGGACGCTGTCACTCTGTTCTCCGCAACGGTGCGATGCCGTCCACCCGGACGAAAGCAGTGGTCCTATAGATAAACGAGGTCGAGTCAGCACCCCAAGACCAAGAGCAACGGGATCAAGTGAAAATGCGAGCAACACGTGGGCCAAGGCGAACAGCCGCGGAATGTTTGTAGTACACGCACGATGCTAGACTCGTTTGCAAAACTGGAGCTCAGCAATAGGAGGGGTTAGGAGCACCGAAGGTGTGGTTTTTTTTTGTTCCTTGTCTGTAATGGAGCTGGTATCTCGAACGGACGAGGGCGAGGTCACCGGAACCCACCCAGCGACGACAGATCGAACGAGTAGGATAGCGACAAGGAAGCGACGAAGATGCAACACGTGACAAAGGCCAGAATAGTCGTTGAGATCTTGCAGCAACAACAGCACGTCGTGCGAAGCGAGCAGTGGCAGTGGATATCACCGCGACAAAGGAAAAGTCGTGTTGGGTGGAGCTGGAGCTGGCCAACTAAGGGGAGCTGGAAATGGGGGGGGGGGGCAGCTTGCGATCCTAACATATACATACCTCGAGGAAGAAGATGGACCTGGACCTCCCCCCAGAATGTCGTCAGACACAGAACAGGGAAGAGAGAGAGTGTGTGTGTGGCCGCAAGAGGCGAAGCAAGCACCAGGGCGGGAGCGTCAGGAAGAGGGAGAGAGAGTCGAGACGGAAGAGGGAGTAAGAAGACAGAAGACGGATGATGGACGGTGAGGGAGAAAATAATGGAAGTGATGAAATGACCAAAACTTCGACGGCGATATTTAGGTAAGCTGGCACCGGGCGGTACGTAGGTACGTGTGTGCCCCCCGACAGGGCTTGTTTTGGCGGTGGGTGGACATAGCGTGCAGGCGGACGTGTGTGGGTGTGGGTTTGCGCATACGCGTTGGGACAGGTAAGGAACGGGGAGCAGGGACCATCAAGCGGACGCAGCCAAGTACCGTGGTAGACGTACGGAGAGGTAGGTATACCTCCATACGGTACGTACCTACATGCCATGTACATATGTATGTACAATCCGGGCAGGGCATGGGTCAACTCGCACTGAGGTAGCAGCGTGGGCAGGGCAGGCCGCGGGTGGGGCAGGCGCAGGCATGGAAAGAGTGGGCCGGGGGACGGATGGGGGATAGGCGGGTGGGTAAGAGCGAAGAGTGGGTCCGCCGATGGAAGCTGCGAAGAAACAATGGAAGGGCTGTTTTTTTTTGCGGTACGTACTTGCATACGTGTTATTCAACCCATCGACTCCTCGACGACGAGGTCGTGCTTATTCTGCCTTCTGGCGGACGGAGGCCGCTGTGCATGTATGAGCATTACCAGCCTGCTCATCGTAAGGTACGCCCAGCGGCCGCCTGAATCCGTGCCTATGTATGAAGCATCCGTTTACGCGTATTGGCGCAAGGTGCCGTTGACCTGTGCTGCTGCATCCTCCGGTACCTAGATGGATATGCAGATCTGTAGCAGCACCTGGGCGACTTGGGTTATTATTAGGAGGTACCTGATGTATGGTACGTATAGTGCGGAGCAGATGGTCTGCCTGCCCTCCTTCTCTACACGTAAACGTCTAGGGAGGTACCTACCTATGGTAGCGTCCTAGCTTCTGGTGCCTGGTGCCTTCATATGTATATACCTACACGTACATACCTACCTACCTACCTACCTTGCCTTAGGTACCTCTTTACCTCACGCACACCTCCTCGGTACCTCTTACCCGTCTACTAAGTACCTCATCTAGGGGAGAGAGCGAGCTCACTACGTAGGTAGGTAGCTAGGTAGCTAGGTAGCTACAAACAGGCTATGGATAGATGAAAAAAGGTAGCCCAGACCCAGTTCGTAGGTCGGTCCCTGATCTGTCAATGCAGTCCGAGGGACATCAGATCGAATGGTTTAAGTACTTAGCTGTGCATAATTGATAGATAGGCAAAGTTCCCCCTCCTCGAGGTCCTGTTCGTCTGGCCCAGAGCTATAATAATAGTTGGTCAATGTGAGGTACCTCTTAAGGCTAGGGCGGGTAGGTAGGCAGGTACTACTTCACGGGGCTATCACACTAAAGGTACAGACGATGGTATAACATCAATCCTCGTTTAAGCTAGGTAGGTAGGTAGCTTTTCCTAGCACTCCCCCTCTCGCAGCCCCCTATTCACCTGTTCGTGGTGGAAATACTCGGGTACATTAGGAGGTGTCCTCTCAATTATACACGTACATGCATGCATACGCCTGGTACCTCCTACGTTCCGGCTCCTCTCGCACCACTTCTATTGGAGCACAACACAATCCCGTATTTGAATTGACTTCCTTCGGCGTAGGCCCTTTCACTGCCTCTCTCTGTCTCCATCTCTCTCTCTCTCGCCGTACACGCGTCTTTCGTTAATTTACATACAACACGTGGAGGATCGGAAGCAGGCACTCAAATAGGCAAGACAACCGTGAGAGGGCGTTACAGGTAGGTGTACATGTATTTGTATTTATGCGTCAACACAGCCATATAAGTATGCCCAGCGGGTTAAATACCTATGTCTGTTCCCTCCTGCCTGACCTCATAACCCCCTTACCAATACGCCTAACAATACCTTTGGGAGGTTACTATGAGTATCCTTTGCTGAGTGTCTGGTCGGCGTTTTGGCGTCTTGGCATCCAGGGACTAGAACGGCAATCCTGGTTTATGGCCCGCTGGGCGTGCTCTGCTTCTTATCACCAGTGATATTGACATGATCTCCCCAGACCTTCTTCTCCTTCTTCTTCTCAGTTGCCAGCACGGGAGCCGTGCGGACAATGCACCGCCTACCCTTGTCCCGAATTCCGCATTTCCGCAGATACATATGTGCATATGCATGCATGTATGTATGTATGTATGTATGTATGTATGTATGTATGTATGTATGTATGTATATATGTATGTATATATATGTGTATATATGTATGTATATATGGACATACCTCCTAGCCAGGCTGTCACAGTTTCCGTCGTGATAGGATAGCTACGATGGTAGCCCCTCTAAAGATTTTTCTACCTAACCGGATGCTACGCGCCAAGGCACCTATTGACAGGTGAGGCGAGTATATGTATTCGTCTCCCTTGGTACGGAAGTACTCATGGAGGTGTGCACCCATTCGTACCGTAACCTTAAGTGCCGCTCTCGAGTCAATATTTACTCGCTATATACATTAGGGTGGTCAGGATGCCGCCTGAGATAGAGCACATACTCATAGAGCGGTTAGTTTAGAACCATGTCTCACCACCCGGCCTGACTTTGGGTCAGTTGTAAACCCGCTGGGAAGCGTTATTCTCTCTCCTTTGCGCAACGCCATAATTGCATAGGTGCTAGCGGAAACCAAAAACCTGACTTGACCCAATGTATCGATAAACAGGTCGAAAAAACGATGGAGGTTCGAATGACACCTGGCTATACCTGTTACCTAACATACCACATATATTGACAGTACCTTACGTATGTGTTTGCAACATCGGGACAGCGGATCCTCGGGAGATTGCCGCTCACACCGAATCCGAGGGGCGTCAGAACGCAATGAAAAGAAAACAGCCAGCAAAGAAGGCTACAGGTGACTCTCTGTCGGGACTTCCCAGACCACGGCACCACAAGTTGAGGTATCCAGGGGAGGGATGTGGGATTCGTACCGAAGATACGGTAAGATCCAATGAGGCGAGATGCCCCAGAGGTCGATACTTAGGTATGTACATACATATAGATACCTGGCATGCCCCCTTGTTACCGACGGTGTAGACCGCTGGCCACCGTCTGGCACGGGTGTGTGCACCCCCCTGCTGACCTAGGTAGGTAGGTGGTAGGTAGGTATGCAGTGAACGCAGTGTATGCAGGTGTAAGGTAATTTGTGCATAAAGTATGCACGAAACCACCCCTTATCATATCTCTATGCGAAGTATATATTCGGAGTCGGTACGGTACCTAACATCCACCTCACTAATCCCCTTTGTTAGATGTCGGTACCTCACACAAGGCAGCATGTGCACACACACACACATTGGTGTATATATATAAATACAAATATTCTACATACCTCCTATGTATACCATGTATCTAGGCAGGTTTACACGGAATGCGATTCGCAGGCGAAAGAGGAAGAGATCGGATCCTTTCGCGACACACCCAAGCCGGTACCTCCATGCCTATATACGGTACGACGGCGAGAAGTGGGATAAGAGGCGGGATAAAAACTTGGGCACCCTCGGGTTTATGTATGTACAGCATCCCTGTGTAGATACCCCGGCGACCACGCAAATTATACTTACATAGATCGGTACCTGTCGCACCAAATCCCAGGTTTAGACGGGACTACCTTCGCTTTCTTAACCGTCGAATGTCGCCCGATATTGCTCGTGTTCCATAGGCCTCCGCTTGCCCCCATGTTACCTCTTC